TACTAATCCTATTACAATTTCCTAAAATTGGCAATTCTCTCTCTGAAGTGTGTGAATGAGAGAGATAAAATCGATCAGTGAAAACAAAAACAGAGTATTGAGGGAGTTGTTGATGTTTTGTTTATAAGTTTCATTTACATAAATTCGGTAACAAAATTACTTCGGAAGTTTGATAAAGTAAGCTTCATATGTTCAAGCATATTGATTGTGAATCCGATGCTTTCTGTTACATATTTCTCCAACCCGCTTTTCTTTTGATCCTTTCTGAGTATATTCTGTTGTTTTGTTTATTAGCCCACTGCATCACTTTTAACAAAGTGTCAGATCCGAACAACGTTCGGAGTTTATCGAAAAACCGATGCGCCATGTGATATGTTTTATACAAGTTGTAATTTTGAAAACACTGCGATGTCGGTACAGGTGAAAGTAATCCGACGTTTCGGTTACCGTAGGTAACCTTTATCAAGGCGATTTGATTGTAAAATCGCATTGATAAAGGTTACCTACGGTAACCGAAACGTCGGATTACTTTCACCTGTACCTTTTTTATAATTCGGGGAATTCCTAACCATTTTTTGAACTATAACTGTTTCCCCTTGAATAATCAGTGGCTCTCGAATACCGAATTTGTTTGACGAACCTCCAAGTGTTCCGCGACGCGTACAATCTTTCCATCAGACTCACTTTTCCAACACAGAAAACATACAGGATAACCCCGAGCCTCGGTCACGCAGTCAGGAATTCGTCACAGAGGCAGATGACTACAAAAATGTGAGTATTTGATGCCATAAACGGAATTCGAGATTCGCTGTTTATTTTCTAGTTTATTGTAAACTCATTTAGATTTGCATGGTGAGAACATTGAACGTTTGGGAAGCCGATTGGCTCCCATGTACCAGAAGAGTCATATTGGTTGTGCACTACTGCACTACTGAAAACAGCGAGATCATTACTTCCTGGTGTATGATTGTTTGAATGAACTAGATGAGGACTGTACGTGAAGATGCAATCTAATGAACTGTCAGTTCAAGTCGCCATCATTTATCCCATTCAACTGCACCTGATCAACTGTGATTTTATTGTGAGCCGAAATCTGATTTAATTAGCCTGAAGTTAACGGCTAACAGATTCGTCAGTACCGTTGAAACGGCACTGATTGACTGAGTGAAACCTATTCTTGCAGAGGCTATTTCGCAGCGCTATATCTGGTCAAAACGGTGTAAAATATATACGAAATCGCATTTATTCAAAGATATCTCAGTGGTGGTGAATGAAAGATGAAGTACCAGGGAATCTAAAACAAAATTGATAGGGACATTATAAAAATTTAAATTAGACTGAAGATCTTTTTCAACTGAAGTTTGACAGAAGTTAGGCAATTTCTAATGTTTTCAACACCGTGATGCATTGTTCCCAGCATCATTCATCTTTCATTTTTTCGAACGTACAGAAAAGTCCGTCGAGGAATCTAGTCGTAATGCTATATGATTCTATGCCAAAAAGAAATACCTTGAAGTAGAAAGATAACTGTGTTCAGAACTTCACAATTTTCTCCAGAAGGCCTATGCAGCTGGTGATTTCACTTATGCGCGTGAACAGTTATTTTACCTCATAAAATCAACGGAAAAGCTACCCGTAAGACAACATAGAACGATCACTGGTGATTTAAACCTGAACTTAGCCCCTATCTTACCCGCATGTAGCAAAACCGTTGATAAAAAGGATGTACATTCAAATGGATATCCAACTGTTGTGGATGGATGTTTTTTAACTGTTCTATAGGTATCAATTATGTTCGCTTTTATTATCGTTCTTCAAAGCTAGTTTAAAATGTTACATTCAAGGTGGTTGGTAATTGCTGAAACATAGTAATGACCATTATATGTTTGTTAACTATAGTTGTGAAAAGTTCCAAAGTTCTATCAATTGATTTCACTTAATTGTGAGGTTTCCATCTGGAAAACATATTTGTTCAAATGGTCCTCGTGATATGATTATTTGGAAACGTTTGATCAAGTTCACTGTGTCAAGGATTTCCAAGGAGTTTTCAATTTTGATACTAAAAAAAGAGAAATCCGTGGAAAATTCAACCAAGTAACAACACCGGAAAGAATTGATTGTACTATGGGATTTGTTTTGATGTGAGAAAACTTTGAACCATCATAAATGAAACTTTCGTATTTATCTTCATAAATAAGGTTGTAGATACTTTATGGTAAATACAGCATACCTAATAAATGGTCTGATATGATTAAGCTAGGCTCCTACGACTACGATCAAAAGAATCAGCTTTAGTTTTGTGATTAACCTAATACTTACATGGTACCCACGATTTTATTCATTTTTGCAATTTAATCAGACCTAACTAAAAACTGAATAATCTTGATTCGAACACTTGAATTATACCCTGGCTTGGCTATACTTAAAACGCAGTCATTCCTTATCGGATATACGCAGCTTACACTGAGTGGTCTCACCAGCTATCAGTCAAGCGAACCCCTCTCCAATATAATTCGCAGTTTGCGGATACTGGTAATAATAACGAAGTTGTTATTGAAAATGATGATCTAAACAACAAGGGTGATAATGGTTTACAAGGTTTTTATTTTTATTTTGATGACCACGAGAATACGAGAATATAATTTATGGACCGTAAACCTACTACCCTGAACATCAATCCACATTCGTGGATGACGTCTAGCGGCATGTGAGAAAATCAAAAGTTGTAAGAGCTTTCAATTTAGGTGTGGTGTCATCGTCTGTTTGGTGTGTGCGTGTGTGCGCGCGCATTCGGTTTCGACCTTTGTTCATCGACTCAAAATCGTGAGCCAAGAGTCTGTTGCTGAATGCATTAGTTCAGGCTGTTAGGCTTCGCTACGATTCGCAAGTTGCGCTTCAACCTTTCCATTCATTAAAAAGCAACGTTCTCCACTGTCTTAATTGTTCCGTAGGAGACAAATACAAAACCCCAAAAGCATTCAAACGGTAGCAGGCACAAAAAACGATGGAAAACAATAGGTGGCTATTGTCTACATCCACGGGCCACAGCGTCTCCGATTCGACGACGCTCGCTTATTAATCAGGTCAATCCCAATCATCCGGATAAAGAGTATGTTGTCCATTCGGTAAGTCACATGTCACCATTAACCGAATGCTATGACTGCATCAACTCAATTTCTATTGTTCTGGTTCGTTCTGTGAGAGCGAGCATATACGCGTTGTCCAAAGTAAAAACCATTGTATCTTAGCTCTCACTGTAATACAAATGATCGTATTTAACGACCAATCCAGTTGGAAGACATTGCACCTCACTTTAAACTACGAGTCTTGAAGGAAGAAACATTTGTTTAGTGTATTATACACGGCTGACTAAATTAAATAGCAATACTACATGCCCAGTCAGACGTGGTTGTTTCGTATTCCATAAAGCTCAATAATCTTATAGTTCACTTTTCCGATATCAACCGTCCATATTGATTGACACTGATGTAATCCATACAATGATGCCTTCCGAGTCTACGTAGCGCGTGACCTAATTGTGGAAGCGAACCAAAATATATGGTGTTTCACTGAGCCAAACCAGTGCGGTCCATTATGACAGTGAAACAGCAAAAGGAGGGGAATATTTTGATTGAATTGGGAGTATAAAACAACATTACAAATGTGTTTCCTCTTAATTCATGTAAAACTAAAACACCACCATATACAGTACCAGTCGCCAAAACCGTAAATAATGATATCATAATTGCTTAAAAGGATACTGATTTTTAAGTAATCCACTGAAAAGGATGTAATTCTGTTTGCGTTTTCTCAATAAAACTCCAGTTATGAGAAGTATTTCATTTGAGTAAGGAGGCAAAGCTTTCATTGAATATAAATAAAAACCCGGTTACCGGTCACAGTAATCTCCTTGTTTGAGAAGACTACCGGTTTCACGAAGCCATTTAACTATATTTTCTACTTTCGTACTCAGTTAACCACGGGCATTTTTCAGTCCTTTAGCAGAACTTTTAGACAAATATTATTGAATATCTAGCTAACGTTGTCTCTCTTTTGACAAAAAAACAATCGGTTGCCGGACTGAGGATTTGAATTTATGTTAGAACTTTGAACAATTTTAGTTTGATGAAATTTGTTCTCAAGAAAAAAATCCATCTCATCAAAGCATCATAATAAAAGAAACTAGAATATTTTGCTTAAACTTGACGGAATCATAATAAATATCTTTGCTTGCTGAACTACCCAATGGAGCTGTTCTAACAGTAACTTAGCTATCAAATTTAAGTAAACAATTGGTCACTAGATTCACCATAGTTCATCTCCACTGTTGTCCACTGATGTACATCAGGAAATCAAATCAGTATTGTGGATCGAGTGGTATTGTCTAGAAGAAAATTGGAAACACAAAATTCTTGGGTGGTAAA